CACGTATTCGTTGCAAGTCGTAGTAAAGATAGAGGTGAATCAGCTGTAGAACTAATAAAAGAAGAAACAAAAAATGACGCAGTTGAATTTTTACAATTGGATCTACAAAGTTTAAATTCTGTTAAGGTTGCTGCTGAAACATTTTTGGCCAGAAAATTACCATTGCATATTCTGTGAGTATTTATCATAAAAAATATATATATGCATTGTTAGAAGTAGAATTTTTTTTTTTGTAAATATATTGATATACTTTATTTTCAGAGTTAATAATGCCGGTATTATGGCAACGTAAGTTATTTTTTTTCATATCAGACATGTAGTCAGGAATATATATAATAAATTATCAATCTAATTTTTACATTCATATTAAAAAGTCCATTTGCGACAACTGTAGATGGCATTCAAGATCAGTTTGGCACTAATCATATTGGCCATTTTGTAAGTATGAGAATCTTTTAATTGATTTTTTTTTAGAAAAAGTATTATCATAACATGATTTTTAAACTACGAAATAGGTCTTCACACTCTTGCTGTTGCCAACCATCAAAGCTTCGGCTCCATCACGTATTATAAATGTTAGCAGGTTAGTTAATTTCTTTTCCATATTAAGGAACTTAATTTTATGTTATTGATCGTTATCGTCTTGGTATGATTTTAGTGAGGCTTATAGACTTGCACCTTCACCAGCGGGTATAGAATTTGAAAAGTTGAATGATCCAAAGGCTCATACCGCTTTTCAAAGATACAATCAATCAAAACTCGCAAATATTTTATTTACTCTTGAACTTAATAAAAGACTTTCAGGAACAAATGTATATTGTAATTGTCTTCATCCAGGTAAAAAAAAAATTTTCAATATAATACGTGTATAGTAAATTATACTAAATAATATACTATTTAATATCAATAACTGCATATGATACGTATAAATAAGGTGTCATAAAGACTGAGTTAATGCGTGGAGTGGTTGCTGACTGGGGATCTTGGGTAAAACCAATTCTCTCTGTAATTACCTTTTTCTTTTTAACACCTGATGATGGTGCTTTAACTCAACTTTATTGTGCTACAAGTCCTGAAATTGAGGAGAAAAATCTCCGTGGAAAATATTTTGTACCATTTGGTAAAGTAGGTGAACCTAGTGCTAAAGGTAAAGACGAAGAATTGGCAAAAAAATTATGGGATTTTTCTGAAAATTTTGTTAAAGAAAAACTTGGTGCTAACATTTTTAGTAAGAGTTAAGCATAATGTTGGTGTCGTGACTGTTAAAAAATCATGGGTTCTTTATTTTTTATTTTTATTTTATTTTTCATTTTCATATTTATACACATATACTAAAATGTATGCAAGGAGGTTCAATTTATTCAGATGTAACCTAAAGTGCAAATTCGCAGGATATCGATATGTATATTTTTATAGTTAATATTTATATATTATTATATTTGCTCGAAATTTCGTTTCTAGCCTTAAGCTTTAAAATCAATTTTTTCTGTATGACCAATCTAAAAGTAACATTCGATATATACAGTATAAGCCTTCACCTAACTTTACTAGCGTTTTTTGTATCTGTATGCTTCATAACCATAGGGTAGGGTTACGGTTATAGCCAGTCAGCGACCAGTTATAACCATAACCGATACTAATCGGTCAGAGATTTATAACTGACCGGTTAAAATCATAACTGATTACAGGTTTTTTAATGCCCTGGCATAAAAGCTTGAGAATAATAAATGCTTTTCAATCATTATTTAATTCGGCATGAAATACACAAATAGTTCTAAAGTTCCGGATCTGGTTCGAAATCTGACTTGGATCTAGGGACCTCAGTTTTATGCGCATAATGGGCCAATTTTTAGCATCGCATAAACCAAAATCGCATAATAGTAAATAGTGTTTGTGATTGGTCGATTTTTAACAGATCACGTTTTTTTTTATAAAAAATTTTGAGCGCAAATTTCAGAAATTTTTCTTATATATACCGTTCCGACATATTCCGAGTAGAAAATCAAACAACGTAAATTACGCGAAGTTATGAAAGTCCAAATTGAGTATATTTATCGCACGCAAAAAATCGCATAATTCTGGGAACATAAAGTATTAGCCGCATGATTTGGTCCAGTCCAATCGCATCGCATAATTTACCTCTACATGCTGAAGTCCCTATGATGAACACTAGAGGCGCATACATTTAGAATTTTGGAGGTAGCTACCCCAGAAAAACATGGCATATTAGCCGTATAAGTAGAAGTGCCGCATGCCGTATAAATGCCGTATGCCGTATAAGTGTTGTATTAATACCGTATGCCTTAATTTAGTGGGCGAATATAAAGATGATCTATTAATCGATGGATCAAAAAAGTGATTCATGTTTACAAACATTTATTTACTACTAACTAATACCCTTCAGACTACCTTTCTATTCGGTCAGTGAGTATTAAATAAATTTTTAATGATATAATATATATATATATATTATATTTGACAACGATTAAAATAACCTAAATACAGCAAAAATAAAGACAACACGTTTAAAGCATGGTGTTTGGCATGTGATCCCAACAAATAAAAATGTGAATATTAATGATTGCAACAGAGAATTTCAGCGGGAATGGATTTCATTCAACAAATTATCGTATAAACGTTCGTGGGCATTATTTTGAAAATCGGATCCTTCAAAAATAACTTAGCACATAATTTGTTGTGATAAATGATATACAGTTTGCACTCCATATGTGCACTCCCTATACATGCACTTTCCCTATAATGATAAGTGCACATAATTTGATGAAATTATCATTATATGTAGATTATGCTCATAAATGAATATTATATAAATGCACTTTTACCAAAAATGTTCAGTTAATGAAATATTGGATTTAGAAAATCAACTATTATTTCGAAATAACGCACCGGTAGGTGTTATTTCGCGCTTACACGGTACTTACGTTAAAGAAACTGACAAAATAGGAATTGTTTATGTATATTCAGCAACTTGATTGGATTATATACGAAATTGATTATAATTGTGTAAAGCGAATGAACCATCTCGTACAAAACTAATGATTTTTTGTGCCAACAGGGTAGTAAAACTATACGGTATACTACATCACTCACGACAACTATCTCACGGCAATATAACCTCGGGGTAGTACGACCTCTACGTCATAGCCTTAATGCCGTAAGGTCTGCATCATTAATGAACACCCTATCGGTTCGTGGGCGAATTTGGACCAGACTCGGATCTTTTGCGGAACACTAATTACATCATTACGGTATTTCGGCACATAATATTTACGGCAGCTAGGTAATTAATTCTACCATATGGTAGAATGTCGTAATGCCGTAATGCCGTATTCTACCGCCGGCAGATCCCTACTCTCTATTTGAGCATTTTCTGCTTTTAAATTACTACCTACTGCATTAATTCACGCTTTCCAGTCGCACGAGATTAAAAATTTTATCCGTCTGTCCCTTTTATTGAATAGTAATTTATTTTTGCGAAATTCGGGAAAGAAACCCGAATAATTATTTGTATATAAGGTGGAGTGTCCGCTCGAATTTATAACTTGAAAATATTATTAATTCCCAATAAAAATGTTTAGTAACAAACGATTTTCTTTTGACAAAATCCCTGATCTTTCTGGCAAAGTAATTAATTTTCAACTTTTGAACTATTTATTTATTTATTTAAATATCTCATGTTTAATTTCATAATTAAGGTTGCAATAGTGACAGGTGGAAATACTGGTATAGGAATCATAACAGTAAGAGAATTAGCCCGTAAAAATGCTCATGTATTCGTTGCAAGTCGTAGTAAAGATAGAGGTGAATCAGCTGTAGAACTAATAAAAGAAGAAACAAAAAATGATGCAGTTGAATTTTTACAATTGGATCTACAAAGTTTAAATTCTGTTAAGATTGCTGCTGAAACATTTTTGGCCAGAAATTTACCATTGCATATTCTGTGAGTGTTATCATAATATACATATATATATTGCGTTAGAACTAGAATTTTTATGTATATTGATATTTACTTTATTCTCAGAGTTAACAATGCCGGTATTTCGGCAACGTAAGTTATTTTTTTCATATCAAATATTAGTCAAGTCATGGCGTGAATATATAATAAATTATCAATCTAATTTTTACATTCATATAAAAAGTCCATTTGCGACAACTGTAGATGGTATTCAAGATCAGTTTGGCACTAATCATATTGGCCATTTTGTAAGTATGAGAATCTTTTAATAATTTTTTTTATAAAAAGTATTATCATAACATGATTTTTAAACTACGAAATTGGTCTTCACACTCTTACTGTTGCCAACTATCAAAGCTTCGGCTCCATCACGTATTGTAAATGTTAGCGGGTTAGTTTAATTTCTTTCTATATGCTTAATTTCTTTCCATATTACTGTATTAAGAAACTTAATTTTATGTTATTGATCGTTATCGTCTCGGTATGATTTTAGTGGTCTTCATAAACTTATATCTTCACCAGCAGGAATAGAATTTGAAAAGTTGAACGATCCAGAGGCTCAGACTCCTTTCCAAAGATACAGTCAATCGAAGCTTGCAAATATTTTATTTACTCTTGAACTTAATAAAAGGCTTTCAGGAACAAATGTTTATTGTAATAGTCTCCATCCAGGTAAAAAAAATTTAATTAGTATTTTACAATATAATACGTGTATAATAAATTATTCTAAATGATATACTATTTAATATCAATAACTGCATACATATAAATAAGGTGTCATAAAGACTGAGTTATCGCGTGGAGTGGTTGCTGACTGGGGATTTTGGATAAAGCCAATTATTTATATATTTTCATTATTCCTGTTATCACCTGATGATGGTGCTTTAACTCAACTTTATTGTGCTACAAGTCCTGAAATTGAAGAAAAAAATCTTCGTGGATTATATTTTGAACCATTTGGTGAAGTAGGTGAACCTGCTACTCAAGCTAAAGACGAAGAATTGGCAAAAAAATTATGGGATTTTTCTGAAAATTTCGTTAAAGAAAAGTTGGGTGATGACATTTTTAGCAAATGTTATGCATAATTTTGATTAGTAACCATTAAAAATTCATGGGTTATCTATCTTATTTTTGGTTTTATTTTTATTTTGTTTTCAAATAATTTCATTTTCATATTATGCAAGGAGGTTCAATTTAATCGGATGTAACTTCAAGTGCAACTTCGCACTATGTGTATATTTTTATAGTTGATATCAAAAAAAATTATTTTTCGACTGTAACTTATATTTGGCTCTAAGTAAAAGTTTTTCAACACATAATTTTTGTGTACAGAACATTCTTTAGCCCTAAGCTTTAAAACTCAATTTTTACTGTATGACTAAAGATGCTGGTGAAATAAAATCCGAGTGGTGAAATAATTTCACCACTATTGGTAAAATTGTTGAAATTGGTGAAATTAATTTCACCAGCGTCTCTAGTCATTCCATGGCATAAATATATATAATAAATTATCATTCTAATTTTTACATTCATATAAAAAAGTCCATTTACGAAAACTGTAGATGGTATTCAAGACCAGTTTGGCGTTAATCATATTGATTTTGTAAGTATGAGAATTTTGTCGCAACTTTGTGCCTTTTTAGAATTAGTTGCAAGATTTGCGAACACCCTTTTTGTTGCAAAAAGATGTAAGACCCCACAGTCACAAGATCGAAAATTTATGTAATTATCGTTATTATATTAAATTAATGTTGTCTATGTAATTTAGATTACGTATAATTTAAATTAAATATATCATTATTTTTTTAATATTACAATATAAGACTTACGAAATTATATTGCGATTTTGCATGCAACACTTGTCATAAAAATTTGACGATAAGTCGCAACCCTAGTTGCGGTATAAAAATCGCAAGCAATATTTACACTAGACAGATTGTATACATCGACTGTACACTAATCGAAGATATAATGTAACTGCGACCAAAAAGAACTGGAAATAATTTCCCTTTGTAGTTCATCTCTAAAGTAATGCTCAAAATCTGTTATTCTTTACGCGAAATTTTAAGAAATACTACCACACAACACGTGACCTATTTCTGCCATACCTAACACTTACATGCTAACCTTGGCTACGTAGTATATGAGTGCCGCCAAGGAAAACCTGTCATCGGGCTTTCAATTATATTTTGTGTACAGTTAGCTATCTATGGAAAATCTATAATAGTTTAATCTATTACCGTACGGCGCTGACTACAGTACCCGGGGTACTATTTCAAAAACCATCAAATTTCTTGAATAGTACTCACTCGGGTACTAATTATGGAGGAGGATACACAAAT